GGAAACTTTTCTATACTTCAAAGTCGTAGCAGTTTCAGCATTTTGCAGTCCTGGTTGTTTTTGATTACACAGAAATTAATTCACTTTTTTCTAAGTAATCATCAGACTTTATGAATTTTGCTTGAATGCGTTATTAACATAGAATTAAAGTTGTATTTGTCAGGCTGGATTCTCTGCACAGAAAATACAAAACTTCCACATAACAGGAAACCAAAAATTAACAAAGACAAATGCTGGAGGTAAAAGCATAAAATCTTCCCCTTCTCGTTTCTGCCGTATTGCCGCACTGTCACCTGTTACTGAAACCTTTATCAAAATGTTCAGTGTGTCGGTGTCTCTGCCACAGTAGATGTTTGACTTGTACATACGGATAAAAACAAAGAGCAGAATGAACTGAAATTTTGAGAACATCTCATAACACCGTATAAAATACAAAGAATGAAAAAAGCAGTCAATTAATGGAGGCTTATGCTTACCATTAACATCTTATTTAGTGCAGTTTCCAGAAACTCTGGGTTTTTTTCAGCAAGATTAAAGAAAGTTCGCTGACATTTCTGTTAAAGATTAACACAGATCAGGATTCTCTTTACAGAACGTTTGGATTGATTCATTTGACTTTGTTCATACAACAAGACTTGCTCAACAGCACAGGTCAATAACGCTGAGTGAAGAAATGAAAACAACTGTTCGAAAAAACCGAAGACAGCAGAAATACACGGTACCTTCTTTTCAACAATTATGTTTAACTGAACTTGCAAATCAGGCAACAGACAGCAAAACTTATCTTTATTTATTTTATTTATTTATTTATTTATTTTAGTTAATAACAGGAGTGATATAAAACAGCAATAGGTCATTTTGACAACAGTCTCCATCTACTAGCAAGCAGGAATATTCAGACATAATGCAATAAATGTTACATCACAGATGCTGAGTTTTGCCACTTTCTTATGTGATCCTTGTTGATGTTTCTCTCCACAGTCTTCATCCAGAATTTATCAGGAAGGACAATCATCATAGCGGTGTTTCTGTTGTATGGCAGCACGATGATGCTAGCGTGGTTACCTGCATCCTCATAGAAGTGGTAGTAATCCGTCCTCATCATCATGTCAACCTGAACTTTGGTACTGCCGTCAACGTGGAAGTCGTCCTTATGTGTCCATTCTCTAATAAATGGTTTCTCCCAGTTTCCTGCACGACACAGTGGAGAGTCGTGTTGACAATATTGGGATGTTTCAGCCTTAGTGCTGTCAGCATTAATCTGTGAGTGTAGGTCACGGATGTATTTCAGCTTCCTCAACACAGCAGAGATTTAGCTCTAAAAGATATTTGAGGGATTTGAAAGTGTCTCTCCCACACAACTGTGAGTTGACTCATGAGCATCACTAAAATAATAAAGTTATATGTCTGTTATTGACAGAATAGAAATAGATATTTAAAGGTGAAGGTTTGTTTGTTTTTTTCTGTTTGTTTTTTGGTTTAGTTGGGCAGCAGGCTGCCAATTATTTGTTGTTTTAGGGGTTAGGGTGGGAACAAGATTGAAATTTTGGAATATTCTGAAGCATTTTGTGTTATTGTATACATTGTATTGGAACCTTTGTCTAATAAAAAGACCTTTGAAAGAAAGAAAGAAAGGTGAAGGCACTTCACCCTTGTAGCAATTTTTTGATACACTGGTAAATAGTAACCAGCAGTTCAGCTGTGTTGTAACATTGTAAATATAACTGATGATACCAACGAAGGAAGCAGACAATGAATGCTGAGTAATGTCATGTCTGCTAAAACCACGTGAAACCTAAAAATCATCTTTAAATCTCTTAACTGTCATTTACTTCTTACATTTAAGTACTTAAACGTAGAACTAATAGAGACTGATGCTTACCACTAACATCTTCTGCAGTGACGTTTCCAGAAACTCTTGTTATATTTAAGCAAGCTTAAAGGCAGTCAGCTGACAGTTTACAGATTAACAAAGATCAGCCTTTTCTCTTCTGGATCAACTCTATTGACTTTGTTTATACAACCTAACTTGCTCAACAGGACATGGAAATAACTCCGGGTGCGTCAGGGTGTTTTTGGTAAAAACAAAAAATCAGAATCACGCAAACATACAAGCCTGGAGAAGTCCTGGCAAAATACTCAAGATGGCAGAAATCTGGAGCCATTTAAAAAAGTGGGAAATCTGTCAATTCAAATGACTTCCAGTTTAAATCATTTCTGGACAATAGACAAGCTGGCTTCTTTTTAACGATCATGATTAACTGGGAAGAGAAATCATACTGAGACCTGACAGCAAGACTGACCTTGGTATTAATATTCATTTAAAGCTAAAGGAGTTAAACAGCGCACACACTATCAGCTGTTTTGTCAGGTGGATAATAATGTATTAGGCAAGTGTTAATGCAAGAGTTCAGATGACTGCTCATAGTCAACCTATCATGCTTATTTAAAACTAACCTTTATGTTATTTGTTATTTGACTGGTTGCTTGTGTCATTGAACAAACTTAATCACCTCCCCGACCGACTAAAGATCCCAGTTTTATCAGTACAGGCCTGACAGAAGTAAACATATGCAAAGGTGAAAAGAAGACAAGCGATGCTGCTGTAGTTGCTCAAAAAAGATTGCAACTTACCAATGAACTGATGTTGTCCTTGGCAAAATTACTTATACATACTTTATATATACTTAATAGGGGTGGGGGGGAAATGGATACTGTGTAGTATGGTGATATTTTGTTTGCTAATAATGTATGGATACAGGGACAGCAGAAATCGATATTTTGTTACAAAAAGGTTTTTGTGCTCTGACTTCAGAGCATGTTGATCCTTTTTCTGAGCAAGAATCCTG